AATGGAGTTCTGGTGTGGCACTGTGGGCTAATGCGTCAGACTGCAAAGTAATTTGAACTGCAAGGTCAGTGGATCAATCTCACCAGCAGCTCCTTGGAAACCCTATATAGGGTCGTTATGGGTCGGAATCGACTCGACAGCACTCAACAACATATATATGTGTGTCTGTATGTGTGTGTATTTATATCTATCTATCTATCTATCTATCTATCTATCTATATACACACACACACATACACATATATGGTGGTGGTGGTTATGTGCCATGGAGTCAGTTCCAACTCATAGTGACCCTGTATAGGGTTTCCAAGGCTATAAATCTTTATGGGAGCAGAAAGCCTCATCTTTCTCCCATGGAACGGCTGGTAGTTTTGAACTGCTGACCTTGAGGTTCATAGCCTGATTTGTAACCACTATGCTACCAGAGAGATATATGTCTATATATCTATATCTATCTATATATGTATCAGTATATGTGTGTGTATGTATACACACACACACACACACACACACACACATACAGATACATATATCTCCACCACTTGTCTGTCAGTTTGTCATACTGTGGTGGCTTGCATGTTGCTGTGATTCTGGAAGTTATGCCATTAAGTATTTTAAATACCAGCAGGGTCAACCATGGTGGACAGGTTTTAGCTGAGCTTTCAGACAAACACAGACTAGGAAGGAGAGATGGACTACTTCCAAATATGTGTCACTGAAAACCTTATGGACAGCAGTGACACACTGTCAGATAGCACCAGAATATTGACTATTTAAACATGATGATGAACACCAGAATATTTCAGATACAGTACTGGAAGATGAGCCCCTCAGATTGGGAAGGAACTCAAAACATGGCAGGGGAAGAACTGCCTATTCACAGTAGAGTTGCCCGTGATGACATAAATGGTGTAAAGCCTTCGAGACCTTCATTTGCTGATGAGGCACACTCAAAATGAAGAGAAGAAGCTATAAACATCCACTAGAAATCTAGGAAAACTAGAAGTAGTAAAAAATGAAATGGAACACATAAACATTGATATCCTATGCATTACTGAGCTTAAATGCCATTTTAAATCTGACAATCACATGGTTGACTACTACACAGGGAATGACAAATTGAAGAGGAGTGGCATCGTATTCATCATCAAAAAGAACATATCAATATCTGTCTTGAAGTACAACGCTGTCTGTAATAGGATAACATCCATATGCCTACAAGGAAGATCAATTATTGTTCAAACTTATGCACCAACAATTAAAGCCAGTGGTGATGAAATTGAAGAATTCTATCAACTTCTTCAGTCTGATAGTCATCAAACATGCAATCACAATGTACTGATAATTGTTGTTGTTGTTAAGTGCCATCGAGTCGGTTCCGACCCATAGCGACCCTGTACAGGGTTTCCGAGGGTGTAAATCTTTACGGGAGTAGAAAGCCTGATCTTTCTCCCGCGGAGCAGCTGGTAGTTTCGAACCGCTGACCTTAAGGTTCGCAGCCCGATTCGTAACCACTACGCTACCAGAGCTCCTTGTACTGATAATTACTGGTAATCAAATACAAAGGTTGAAAACACAGAAGAAGGATCAGCAATTGGGAAATATGGCCTTGGTGATTAGAAATGATGTTGAAGATCGCATGACAGAAATTTGCAAGACCAATGACTTCTTCATTGCAAATACCTTTTTAAACAACATTAAAGATGTCTATACACATGGACTTCACCAGTCGGGATACACAGAAATTAAATTGCCTACATCTGTGGAGAGAGACAGTGGAAACGCTCCATTATCAGCCAAAACAAGGCCAATATCTACTGCAAGTAAAATTTTACTAAAGATAATCCCCAAAACGGGTGCAAACATACATTGACAGAGACCTGCCAGAGGTTCAAGCCAGATTCAGAAGAGGATGTGGAACGAGGGATAGCATTACTGATGTAAGATGGAACTTGGCTGAAGCAGAGGATACTAGAAAGATGTTTACCTGTGCTTTACTGACGATGCAAAGGCTTTCAATTGTGTGGATCATGACAAGCTATGGACAACAGTATTCCAGAGCACTTAATTGTGCTCATGAGGAATCTTTACACAGAACAAGAGGCAGTTGTTCGAACAGAACATGGAACATTGAATGGTTTAAAATTATGAAAGGTGTGTGCCAGGGTTGTATTCTTTCACCAAACTTACTCAATGGGTATGCTGAGCAAATAATCGGAGAAGGTGGATTCTATTAAGAAAAACATGGCATCAGAATATGCTGATAATACAACCTTGCTTGCTGAAAGTGCACAGGACTTAAAATATTTACTGATGAAGATCAAAGAACACAGCCTTCGGTATCGGTTGTACCTCAATGCAAAGAAAACAGAAATCCTCATCACTGGACTAATCAATAGCATCAAGATAAACAGAGAAAAGATTGAAGTTGTCGTAGACTTAATTTTGCTTGGATCAACCATCAACCCTCATAGAAGTAGTGGTCAAGAAATCAAACAACGCATTGCAAATCTGCTGCACAAGAAGTTTTTAAAGTGTTGAAGAGCAAAACTGTTGGTTTGAGAACTAAGGTGTGCCTGACCCAAACCATGGTATTTTCAATATTCTGATATGCATGTGAAAGTAGGATGGTGAATAAGGAAGACAGAATTCATTCGAGTTATGGTATTGGAGGAGAATATTGAAAGTACCATAGCCTACCAAAAGAATAAATAAATCTGTGTTTGAAGAAGTACAGCCAGAATGCTCTTTGGAAGCCAAGATGGGCAGACTTCATCTCTCGTACTTTGGACAACTGTCAGGAGGGACCAGTCCCTGGAGAAGGATATCATACTTGGTAAAGTGGAGGGTTAGAAAAAAAGAGCAAGACCACTAACTAAATGGACTGGCACAGTGGCAGCAGCAATGGGCTCAAACGTTGCAATGATTGTGAATTTCGCAAGGGACAGGGGAATGGTTTGTTCTGTTGTGCATAGGGTCGCTATGAATTGGTACTGACTTGATGGTACCTAACAACAACAACATATATATGTGTACATACATATAAATAAAGGAGTCCTGATGTGGTGCTGTAGGATAAGCACTTGACTGCAAGGTTGGTTTGAACCGAAAGCTGGGTGGTTCAAATTCATCAGCTGGTCCTCGGAAATCCTATGCAGGGTTGCTACGTGTTGTAACCAACTCGATGGCACTTAACAGCACATATACAAACCATCCTATAACTATTCTAACTCTGTATCTTTTAATAAACCATGAAAGAAAAAAGAACTTTACAAAATACTGCAGAATTAAAATAAGAGTAACACATATATACTGTACTTATTAAGCTCAGGAGGTAATTTTAATGGACAAAGTCACCTAATATTTTTACCTAGGGCTGAAACTGTTCTTGTTAAGTTCTGTCAAGCCAGTTCTAACTCATAGTGACCCTGTATAGGGTTTCCAAGGAGCAGCTGATGGGTTTGAACCACCAACCTTGAGGTTAGCAGTCCAGTGCTTATCCTACACACCACACACCAGGACTGCGGGGCTGAAACTAGCAATCCCCAAATTAAGGTTACCTATATAACTGTAGGATAAGTGAGCTCTGGTAGCGTAGTGGTTACGAATCGGGCTGCAAACCTTAAGGTCAGCGGTTCGAAACTACCAGCCGCTCCACGGGAGAAAGATGAGGCTTTCTACTCCCGTAAAGATTTACACCCTCGGAAACCCTATACAGGGTCGCTATGGGTCGAAACCGACTCGATGGCACTTAACAACAATATAACTGTAGGATAAGCACTGGTCCACAAGGTTGGTTGTTCAAATCCACCAGCCGCTTCTTGGAAACCCTAAAGAAAGTCTCTAAAAGTCAGAACCTACTTGATGACAGTAAACAACAAATATATAACCCTACTGTGTTTTATTTCAAATTTATTCTGAAAACTGTGGGGAATTCTACCTCTAGCTCATCTCTCTGGCACTTTAAATCACAGATTACCTGTGGGAACATCTCAATAAGAGCTCAGCATTCGTAAACTAGGGAAAATCTGGCACTCACTGACCCTGCAAGGCTTCTTTCTAATCACGTCCCCTGCATATTGTATGGCCCTGACTCTTTTTCAAAATGAACTTTATTTTGCTTTAGGAAAGCAGAACACAAGAGAGTGTAAAAAATTCTATTATGAAACCAAATTACTCTAGGGTCCTTTTAACAACGAGATTTTAAATTTACTTTAAATACAGAAGTTATTTATAAATACTGCACTGTTTAGAGTTTTAAGTAAGGTCTCTCATAAGAAAACCTATCTGTATTACTGTTTTAGTTCTGAAATTAATGACTACTTATGTATATTCTTTCTTCCTTTATTAGTCTATATATATTCCTATGAAAGTAGAGATCTAAGTTGTTCACCTAAACCTAGAATAAGTCAAAACATAAAAGAAGCAAAAGTGATAGATAAATAATACCTAAATTCGCTTATTTCACTAGATACAGATTTTTGAACAACAACAAAAAAATCTAGGGATAGCCATTCCCTTTACAAAAGAAATCAACAGCTAGGCTTCTTCTACATGACACATACCTATAGAGAATTTTAATGAGCTGGCACCAAAGCTCAGGTCCAGTGACATAGTGAATTAGATGACTGATTTGACGTCTAGTCAGAGCGGCTTTGACTTACACTTATAGAATCTGGCAGCAACGTAACCAGCAGGAGTTCCCAGCAGGACCCATAAGACCACAGCACAAGTCATCAGGGCACCTCTGTTGGCAGGTGACAAAAATCCCAGGCAAGCAAAAACTAAAAAATAAACAATGTAAGGTTATGACAAAATGTATTACTGATTCCTCTGTTGTGAAATGATAAAAGATACTCTTATTTTTCAAAAAAGAAAACAAATACAACTTCATGAAAAACATATACTACACTGCCATGCAGCAACGCCGAATCTTAGAAAAATGTAATGTACTGTATTCATTTGATCACACATATGGCAAATTCCACTTTGAAAGTTTTGTATCAAAGTCCTTACGATCCCATCTTTTTCTTTACCTGGGAAGGCTGAACAAATGCTTGAGAGGCCTTCTGCTTATCTGAGATTCAAGTATAACTTTAAAATGGAACATATTTATATAAATAACACCCCCAATATGAATTATACTTAGATTCTGCTTTAAAACAATACTAGTGCTTTTAGGGTGAAATATTGTTACAGCTTTATGAGGTATCAACCTTTGGGCAGAGTTAATCCTTCCTTGAGTCATTTATGAAGTCCTGGTGTGGCATTGTAGGGTAAGAATTTGACCATAAAGTCAGTTTGAACTGCAAGGTTAGCTGTTCAAACTCACCAGCTACTACTAGGAAACCTTATATAGGGTCACTAAGAGTCACTTAACAACAACACAGCAATTTTTAATTTGCAGTTAACACTTACATAGAGTTACAAAAGTCATAATTAAAATTTGTGTCCCAGATCCTAGAAAGACTGATAGCAGCATCCCTTTTCTTGGGGGACGGAAAATATCACCATGAACCAGTTTCCAACCAAATTCTTCCTGGGCATCCTCCTAAAAAGGGAATGAACGTGAATTAATTTTCATGTGGCACCATTACAAAAAGTAGACAGTTCATTTACCACTGAGCATGTTGCTGCAAAAAATTTTTTTAAATTTTAACGTTAGAGTCAATTTCAAGTCTGAACTATAAAACTTGACTTGGAACTTTATATGGCTTTGTTGAGTTACTTTTAAAGGGCTGTTGTATAATGAGGTGTATAAATATAGCTATTTAAAAACACTAAAATGAAATAAAAAAACAATGTGTTATTTACCTAGTTCTACTCAATGTCAAGCTTTATAACCCAACTTGATGATTTAATTTTAAATGATATTTCATTCTTTCAGTCTATATTTATTAATCTCCAAAATAAGCAAATGATTTTAACTCTCTTCACTATACTTACTTTGCTAGTGCAGTAAACGTGGTTGCAAACACATTAGCAGTAAACTTGTATCACAAATCCAAATGGCTGAAGTAATGACATATTTTAAAGGGTGCTGTTAGCTGCTGTGGAGTGGGTCCCTGGCTCGTGGTGACCCCAACCACAACAGGACTAGACTGTTGTGAACCACAGAGTTTACACTGGCTTTGTCAGAAGTAGATCACCAGGCTTTTCTTCCTAGTCTGTGTTAGTTTGGTGGAAGCTCTGCTGAAATTTGTTCAGCATTACAGCAATCGGCAAACATTCACTGACAGACGAGTGGTGGCAATGCTTGATGTGTACTGGCTGGCAACTGAACCTGGGTCTCACGCACAGGAGGTAAGAAATCTAACACTTAATGACCACTGTCCCCAGCAGCATAGACAGTTGTTTAACCAGCATCTCATCTGTCAGTTTGTCGTACGCAGTGGCTTGCGTGTTGCTGTGATGCTGGAAGCAGAGCTATCGGTATTTTAAATACCAGAAGGGTCACCCCTGGTGTACAGGTTTCAGCTGAGCTTCTAGACTAAGATAGACTGGGAAGAAGGAGAGGCAGGCTATTTCTGAATGTTTAATTATCTACTAAAAAACTTACAAATAGCAGTGTAACGTGGCAGATAGCACTTGTTGTTGCGATGTGCCGCGGAGTCGGTTCCGACTCATAGCGACCCTGTACAGGGTTTCCTAGGCTGTAAATCTTTACGGGAGCAGAAAGCCTCATCTTTCTCTTGTGGAACAGCAGGTAGTTTTGAACTGCTGACTGTGAGGTTCAGAGTCCTATTCATAACCACTACGCTACCAGAGCTCCTTGTCAGATAGCACTAGAATAATGAATATTGAAACAGGATGACGAGCACTAGAATATTGTCAGATACAATGCTGGAAGATGAGCCACTCAGGTTGGAAGACACTCAAAACATGACTAGAGAAGAGCTGCCTCCTCACAGTGGAGTTGACTGTAAAAATGAGACTAATGGAGTAAAGTTTTGGGGACCTTCATTTGCTGATGTGGCACAACTCAAAATGAGGAGAAACAGCTGTAAACAATCATTAATAATCAGAACATGAACTGTAAGAAGTATGAATGTTGGAAAACTGGCAGTAGTAAAAAAATGAAATGAAACACATATACATCACTAGCCTATGCACTAATGAGCTGAAATGACTCTGGTATTGGCTATTTTGAATCTGACAATCGTATGGTTTACTATGCTGGCAATGACATCACATTCATCATTAAAAAGAACATTTCAAGATCTATCTTGAAATACAGTGCTGTCTGTGATAGGATAATATTGATATGTCTTGAAAGAAGACTAATTAAAACCACTATTATTCAAACTTATGTTCCAACTACTAAAGCCAGTGATGGTGAAATTGAAGAATTCTACCAACTTCTTCAGTTTAAAACTGATCAAGCATGCAATCAAGATGTACTGATGATTACTGGTGATGGGAATGCAATGGCTGCAAATACAGAGAAAGGATCAGTAACTGGAAAACACAACCTTGTGATAGAAATGATGCCTGAGAGTCCATGACAGAATTTTGCGAGAACAGTGACGTATTCATTGCAAATACATTTTTTTAAACACAAAAAGGATGACCATACACATAGAGCTCTGGTAGTGTAGTGGTTATGAATCGGGCTGCTAATCTCAAGTTCAGCAGTTGGAAACTACCAGTTGCTCCGCAGAAGAAAGATGAGGCTTTCTGCTCCCGTAAAGATTTACAGCCTCAGAAACCCTGTACAGGGTTGTTATGAATCAGAACCAACTTCACGGCACATAACAACATACACATGGACCTCATCAGATAGCATGCACAGAAATCAAACTGAATGTAACTGTGGGGAGAGATGATGGCAAAACTCCATATCATCAGTCAAAGCAAAACGAGGGGCAGACTGTGGAACAACACACCACTAACTGCTCATATGGAAGTTCAGGCTGAAGCTGAAGAAAATTAAAAGAAGTCCACAAGAGCCAAAATTCGACCTTGAACATACCCCACTTGAATTTAGGGATCATCTCAAGGACAGATTTGATACATTAGGCACTAATGACTGGAGACTGGAATAGCTGTGGGATGTCATCAAGAACATGATACAGGAAAAAAGCAAAAGGTCATTAAGAAGACAAGCAGGAAAAGACAAAAAGAGAAGCAAAAGAGACACTGAAACTTGGTAAAGACACATATGGAAAAGCAAATGGAGGAAGTAAAAGAGATGAACAGAACATTTTAAGGGGCAACTCGAGAAGACTAAGTTAAGTATTATCATGAAATGTGCAAAGATCTGGCATTAAAAAACCAAAAAGGGAGGAACATGCTTAGTGTTTTTCAAGTTGAAAGAACTGAAGAAAAAATTCAAGCCTTGACTTGGAATACTGAAGGATTCTATGGGTAAAATACTGAATGATGCAAAAAGCATCAAAATAAGATGGAAGGAACACACAGTTACTGTACCAAGAAGAAAGGATGATGTTCAAACATTTAGATACAGCATATGATCAAGAGCCAATGGTACTAAAGGAAGAAGTTCAACATACACTGAAGGCACTGGCAAAGAACAAGGCTCCGGGAATTAAATAAATAAATAAACAAACAGACGGGACTTACTGGTCAGAAAGAGACTGGAGGAACCTGTGATTGTGGCCCTCAATCACCCTTCAGGTCCAGAAAGGAACACACTCTCCTTCAACCAAGCAAAAGATAAGTATATATGGAAAACAACTTTCAGCCAAGTAGCAGATAGGTATATAAAGAGAACACAACACTAGCAAGACAGTTCACTATGAATGATGGAATGGTCATTCAAAATCCAAGGGATAACATGTACCTAAGGACAAGAAGGGATAGGAAGGAGGGTGGAAGGGAAATCGGAGCCACAGGGAAGAAGAGAGATGACTGTTGCTTCACTGAGGGAATTCTTGCTTCCTGAAAACGAAGAGGACTTACTTAATGATGAAGATCAGAGACCACAAACTTCATTGTAGGTTGCACCTCAAGGCAAAAAAAAAACAAAACAAAAAACCTCAGCACTGAACCAATAAATAGCATCATGATAAATGGAGAAAAGACTGAAGTTGTCAAAGACCACATCTTGCTTGGCTCCACAATCAACACTCATGAAGCAATAGCCAAGAAATCAAATGATGCTTCGCACTAGGCAAATCTGCCGCATAAGACCTCTTAAAGTGTTCAAGTGCAAAGATGTTAGTTTGAGGACTCTGGTATGATTGACCCAAGTTATGGAATTTTCAGTAGCTTGATATGCATGTGAAAGTTGGCCAGTGAGTAAGGAAGAATGTAGGAAAACTGCTGCATTTGAGGTATGCTGCTGAAGAAGAATATGAAAAGTACTATGGACTGCCAGAAGAGCAAACAAATCTGTGTTGGAAGAAGCATGCCAGATTTTCCTAAGAAACTACAGGATAGGCAGACTTGGTCTCTCACACTTCAGACATATTATCAGGAGGGACCAGACATGGAGAAGGACATCATGCTAGGTAAAGTGGAGGATTAGCAAAAAGAGGAAGACTCTAAGAAGATGGACTGGCAAAGTGGCAGGAGCAATGCACTCAACCTTAACAATGATTGTGAAGATTGTGAAATACAAGGCTGTATATCATTCTTTTGTACATTAGCTCCAAGTTGGGATTAACTTGATGGCACCTAACAACAATAATAAACATCTCAACTTGATTAATAGACATCTTTAAAAAACAATGAACCACAATTCATTATTATTATGTACAGAAAATGTTTATTTAGGATTTCTTTGTTCATCCCTCCCTTTAGATTGTTTTCCTTTTAAATTTTTGTAGAAATTCTTCAGTTAAGGTCTGTTTGTAGTTAAATGTTGCTGCTATTCTGAAAAAGGTTTCTTAACCACGTACTTGAAAGATGAATTTTCTGGGCACGAGATTCTAGGTCAACAGTTAATTTATCTCACCATTAAATATATTATTCCACTGTCTCTGGGCTCCATTATCAATCTAATTGTTATGCCTTTGTAGATGCACCGTCTCCTGCCCTGGCTGATTTGAAGATCTCTTTAACCCTAGTGTTCCATGGTTTCACCAGAATTGATCTCGGTGTGGATTTTTAAAATTCTATGCTTGGGTAGAGTCAGTATTGGACTGCAAGTTCAGTTTGAACTGCAAGGTTCAAACCCACTAGCTGCTCCCTGGAAACCCTATACAGAGTTGCTATGAATTAGCACTGACGACAACAACCACAATGCTTAGAAAAAATTGTGCATTTTTTATCTGTGGACTCTTACCTTTTATCTGTTCTGAAAAATTCTTAGCTGTTATTTTTGCATGTATTTTGTACTCAGTAACTAGTAATTCCAAGGAGCTCAAGCAGTGTACTAGGTTTCATATTGGTATGCCAACTGCAAGGTCAGCAGTTTGAACCTACTAGCTGCTCCTATACCTACCTACTGTGCACCAATCTACTGACACATAAAATTATGAGCAGTTCAGCTCTGAGAGTATATTTCCTTCTGTACAACACTATGATGATTACATTTCTAGAAAATATCAATTCTTAAGCATCACTTTCTTATTTGAAAACATGAATTCAAGATAACTTTTTAGAAGCAGATTCTGTCTAAAGCTATTTAAACTATTTTAAAATAAAAAATAACATCTGCTGTTGATCAGGGAGTAGTTAAAAGCTTCCACTCACCGTAGAATCTATCTGATTATATCTGGCAATATCTTTATGCAGGGTCCGTAACATAATCATAGCTACCATTCCAGATAAGAAGAGGACAATTACCAGGGAATTCATTATGCTGTAGAAATAAGCACACCATGGTTAATTTCTAGCTTAACTTTTGTAGTAATAAAATTGTCATTTAAATTGGTTATTGAATTAAATATCAACGATCAAATTAAAAATTTACACTTTATCTAAAACCCAAACAATTCAATGAACTATGTCTTTCTATGTTTACTTCTAGTGGATTTAAAAATTTATATACAGTATAATTTACGCTGTATGAGTGAGATTATTGTCCTCTGGTCAACATTATTAAATAATTGCTGTCCCTGAACCATGCAGCACAAATTGCAAGGAATTAACAAAGAACTGGTCCCTTACTCTTAAGACATTTGCTGATAATAAATGTATATGGCAAAGTAATGAGTATCAAAAGAATCAGCCAACAAAATATGAAAAGGAGTAATGGCACCAAGAATTGCTTTCTATATAAAAGTTTTGATTCATCCTTTGAATAAAATAATAATTTTAAAAAATAGTGATAATAATGGTTGCTATTTATTGAGCAATCTTACATAATAGGTAACTTGCTTTAATTTCATTATTTGATTTAATCCTCTCAACAATCACAGAGTTATGAGATAGATACTGAAAAAATGAGTGACCTTCCCTAACTTACAATCAGTGAATGAAAGCCAGGATTTGAACTCAAGTCTACCTGATTCAGAAGCCCACGCTTTTGAATACTTGGAGAGGATTAGAAAACAAATGAGATGTTCAAAGGGAAAAAAACTGAAGTACAAAACATAAAAATGAACTGTTCTCTTACCTAAACCACTGAATGTGAGTATGAGGCATAGATTCCAAAATATAGTCCCATCTTGATGCCCATCTGATACTTTTATCTTCCTATAGGGAGGATAAAACAAAATCTCTGTAAGTATTTACTGACATTGTTGTGTACTGTCGAGTTGACCTATACTGTCACAATGACCCTAGACAGGGTTTCTGACGTTATACATCTTTATGGGAACAGAAAGCCACATCTTCCTCCCATGGAGCAGCTGGTGGATTCCAACTGCTGACCTTCAGTCAAATATGAAATCCACAATACCACTAGCACCCCTTCAACTTTAGGGAATATGACGAATAAAAACTTTTGAATTCACAGCTTGTCCTTCCATTCAACCAACAAACACATTTTCTAGTTATCATAACTTGGGTCAGTTATGAGATTCAGAGAGTTGTAGATGTATTCAAATCTCATCCTGGTGTGGCACAGTGGGACAATGCACTGGAACAGCATGGTTGGTGGTTCAAATTTACTAGCCACTCCTTGGAAACCCTGTACAGGGTTGCTATGAGTTAGACCCAAATTAACAGCACTTAACAACAACAAGGGGATATCAGGAAAAGATTAAGTAGAAAATTTAAAAATATAAGAGTTCCTAACAGTATATAGGCGCTTACATTTTTAAAGTCTCAGTTCAAATTATAAAGTTATTTCAGATGTCCAAATTTAAACCCATATTTAAATTTTTTAGAAAATAACTAATGGAAAATAACTTGTTCCTTGCTTTCTTCAAGGCCATTTATCCATAACTATGCATATATCTTTCTGATTTTCCTTTTTTGTTTTGGTGTGAAGGTATATTATTTTTAATGCAGGGAGAAAGATGAGGCTATCTGCTCCTGTAAAGATTTACAGCCTCGGAAACCCTGTACAGGGTCGCTATGAGTAGGAATCGACACCACAGCACATAACCACCATTACCATGGGGCACCCAGGAGTTCTGGTGTGGTGCTGTCGGTTAATGTGCAAAGTTGGTTTGAACTGTAAGGCTGTCAGTTCAAGCTCATCAGCTACTCTTTGGAAATCCTATGTAGGGTTGCTATGGGTCACAACCAACTCAATGGCTCTTCACAACGGCCCTTAGTGGGGCACCTAAGCAGACCGCAAAGTCATAACCACAGCAAAGTGAGCATTGGCGTACAAACAGAAAATATTGTTGAAGAGCTGTTGGAAGAAAACTCCCCTAACATTATGAAAATGAGAAGACAAACACACAAGAAGCTGAAAGAACCCCAAACAAGATAGATCTCAAAAGAAAATCACCAAGACATACTGTAATCAAACTGTAAAAAATCAAAGACAACGAAAGAATTCAGACAGGGAACAATAGTTACCTACGAAGGCAGAACCTATAAGACTAAGCTCTGATTTCTGATTTCTCAGCATAAACCCAGCAGGAAAGAAGGCAGTAGGATGACATATACAAAACTCTGAAAGAAAAAAACTGCCAACCAAGAATCATCAGCAAAGCTGTCCCTCAACTACAATGTCAAAATTTGGATGCTTCCAGATAGACAGAAATTAAAGGAATTTATATAACCAGACCAATTTTACAAAAAATACTAAAGGGTATTCTCTGGATTGAGAACCAACAACAGTAGAAGACAACCTGAACTCAATTCACTCAAAAACACACATCCATATATGGTGCTGTTGTTGCTTTAAGTGCCATCCGGTCAATTACTATTCACAGCAACCTGTAGAGAGTTTCCAAGGAGCGGCTGGTGGGTTTGAACTGCTGACCTTGCAATTCAAACTGATCTTGGGTTCCAATGCATTAACCTGCAGCACTACACGAGGACTACATATTGTTTGTGTTGTTATTGTTAAGTGCTGTTGAGTCAGTTCCGATTCATAGTGGCCCTGTATAGAGTTTTCGAAGAATGGCTGCTGAACTCGAACCATTGACCCTGTGGTTCAAATCAACCTTGTATATAGCACAAGAACTCACAGCGCCATACCAAGACTTCATATAAAAAAGTATTTAAAGTAAAATAAACCTATAAGACTAAAAATAGAGAATCAGAGATATCAATTTATAACGAAGTCAACTACAAATTATAAAAAGGAAATAGTAAAGATATAGAACTTCCAAATGGTGAGGAAGTGAAGTAAATTTCAATATAAAACAGACTGTTTCAAATTGGGGGAAAAATTAATAAATTACAGGGTAACCTCAAATAAAAAGAATACACCTTCACACCAAAACAAAAAAGGAACATCAGAAAGATTTAGTAAACATTAATACAATAAAAATGACAATGAAAAGAAAATCCACAAACAAAATGAACTTAGCCCAGATAATTACGTGAACAAAGAAACCAGCAAAACAAAAAAGCACACAACAAAATGAAAGCAATTCACACGCATTGGTCATTACTCTGAATATCAATGGATTAAATGCACCAATCAAGAGACAGAAAGTAACAGAATAGATAAGAAAACAAGGTCCTTCCATATGTTGTTTATAAGAGACATGTCAAAAAGATGCACATGGCCTAAATGCCCACCACCAACAGATGAATGGTTAAACAAACTTTGGTACATACACACAATGGAATAAACGTTGAACAGTAACGATGAATCTGCAAAACACCTCACAACATGGATAAACCTGGATGACATTATGCTGAGTGAAATTGTTGTTGTTGTTTTAAGTGCAATCGAGTCGGTACC